AGATAGATAGATAGATAGATAGATAGATAGATAGATAGATAGATAGAGACACACATGTAGACAGATGATATAGATAGATAATAGACAGACAGATGACAGATGGATGGATAGTTAGAGACACAGACCAACATACATATATATAGAGAGAGAGAGAGAAAGAGAGAGACATAAACAGATGATATGAGATAGATGATGGATAGATGACAGATACAGACTAACACAGAAAAACACATAGACAGATGATACAGATAGATGACAGGCAGATAGACTGACAGACAGAGACACAGACCGACATAGAGAGTAGGTAGGTAGGCAGACACAGACAGACAGACAGACAGAGAAAGAGATAGATGGATGAACAGACACAAATTGATAGAGACGAATAGCTAGATAGAGGCATATAAATACATAGATGGTAAGATAAATCTAAGAGAGAGAGAGAAAGAGAGGAGGAGGAGGAGGAGGACTGGGCCCCAAGTTGCCCATGAATTCATCAGACATAAACACCCTAATTTTAACACACACACAAAAAAACCCCAACCCCAAAACCCAGCTTGGATCTGCCCCTTTCCTCATACTTAACCATCCTTAGTTCCTTGCTTAGAACTTGAATGGCTAAATTTCCCTCCAGACTGTAATAGCAGACAACAAGAACAACATACTTTATTCATTAAACCTGAAACTCAGTCAACTGAACATTCAAAAATGCATCACAAATTTCATTGGTTTCTTATGTTATAATATTATCATGATAATAATTATTATCATTATCATTATCACTATTATTATTATTCAGAGACAGTCAATATTTGTGATACATTTTTAAATGTTGACTGAGTTTCATGTTTAATAAGTTAACAATAATAATCAAATACTAATAATACTAATAAATACTAATAAATACTACTACTAACAAAATACTAACAAAATAATAAAAAATACTAATAAAATACTACTACTAATAATGATGATAATAAAGCAGCGTTCCCCAAAGACCCCCCTCTCCTCCCACCCAAGCGGTCGAATCTCGGCCGGCCGCTTTTCCTGTCAGGCCAGCCTACCTCGCAGGGCTGTTGTGCAGCGACCTCGAAGGGTCTTTTTTGGGGGGGGGGGGACGTGACCCATGGAGGACCCCGAAAGAAGGAGGGTGAAGGGACCGAGCCCGTCGCGACGCGTTTCCCACCCCCCCCTCAGCGCCATGGGCCGGCGCATCCCGCTCCCGACCGGCTTCCCGCCATTACCGTTCTCTCGTCCCTTCGCAAGCGGCCGCAGCGGGGCTTCTTAGCCTCCCGGCGCCCCGAGGGCAAGGAGGGGACCGACGGCGACCGCCACCATCCCCATCCCCTCAGGAGCTTCGCCGAGCGGCTTCGCCAAGTGCACCCTAACCCCGCTGCTGGGTTGCCAGCGCCCCGCTCCGTCCCGCCCCGTCCCCGCGCTTAGCCAATGGGAACACGCGGGAGCAGGCGTCGCTCCTTGCGACTGGTTCCCTCTCCCTTTCGCTCTCGCTTTCTGTCAGACGGAGGGAATTTCCATCTTTTTTTTCCCTCACCAGTCTGCTAGGTTGAGCGGTAGCGACGAATCGTTTGGATTGGCTGGCCCGGTTCGTTCCTGTTCGATGAGTGGTTAAAAAGGGTAGAAAGCCCACCCACCCCCCCACATGCCTTTCCCCGAACGCGCCGAGATCAGTTGATTTGATTGGGCACGTTCTCCCAAGGACTCGCCTACCTCGCTTCCTATTGGACCAAAAACCGAAAGAGCGGAAGGAAAAGAGAGCGGGGGCTCTCTAAAAAGTAAAACGTTACCATTCCTCCTCCTCCTGCTGCCCCCGCCCCCAGATTGATGACGTCATTCGGAGGAGGGCGGGGCTATGTGTCTGTCCTGCTATTGCAAATTAATAATTACAATCGGCGCTTATCTACTGTAGATCTTTATTGGGGGATGCTTTCATTTCTATTGTTTCTCCCCCAAAATAATTATTAATAATAAAAATAACAAGGTACAGTTGAAAAGCAAAGAATAAAAATGGAGGAACACCTGTTGAGACTGTGTGCAAATGCGTATGAATGCATAAGGGGAGAGAAATTCGTTTAAAACAAGTGAAAGTCGTTTAAATCTATGCAGATCTTTGAATTGTTTTCGTATGGATGGTTTAAAATGTATTAAAAACTGTGCATAGAATATGTGCACTATTTTTAAACATTGACAGACAATAAAGGAACAAACTATCTACCTACCTACCTACCTTCCATCCATCCATCCATCTATCTACCTTCCACCATCCATCTATCTACCTACCTACCTTCCATCCATCCACCTACCTA